AATGTAACAGCTGTAAAAATGAATTTTGTTATATACATCGTGGTTTGTTATATCGAGATTCATTATATCGAGTTTTGTTATATTGAGGTTCGTTATATTGAAGTTCGTTATAGTGAGGTTATTTTGTAGTTGATTAGTTGATATTCAAAAAGGTTAGTTGATAACTAATCAATTTTTTCCAATTCGATTTGTAATACTACCTTTAGGTCAATCTATTTATGATTATTGCGTGATTACTGAAGAGCGTAAAGAATATCTTTAGGCTTCAAAAAATTATTCTGGTATATCTCATCATAATGGTGCATTTCTTGGTGAAGAAATCATTAAGGTTATTGATGATATAGGTCCTGAAAAAATAGCTACGATCGTATCCGATAATGCAGCAAATACCCATGTTGCATGAAGAATACTTTGCGAAAAATATCCTTATATTTTGGATATTAGATGCGTGGCACATTGTATTAATTTAATTACAGAAGACTTGTGCAAACACGCATTTGTAACAAGTGCAATTCGGAAAATCGGCATAATTCATAAATATTTTACAAAATCGCATGCTGCATGCCAATTTTTAAAAGATGCAATTAAAATCTTAAATATTAAGGGTGGTGATTTAAAGGATCATACAAAAACACGTTGGTCTACAATGTGAGATTGTGTTAATTCAATTGTGCGACTTGAATTTCTTTTATGAGGGTAAGATTTTTTTTTTTTTAATTTTATTTTTGTTGTAATATTAAACAGTCAACTTTAATCTGATATAATTTGCTTGCAAAACTGTTTAAAGAGATAGTCTAAAGCCAGATAGTTTTAAAATTAACTACTAATCGATTTGTAAATTAAAAGTCACATGACACACATAAAATACTATAGCTGACCCTTCATAAGTGCACTCATCAGGAGAAAGTTAGCAATTCGAAGATGGACAAGTGAAAATAAGGATATTGATAATTTCATAAAAGAGATTCAACTTAGAATTTATAATTATGAATGCATGATTGAGTGGATTCCGTTTGAAAGATTAGTTATTACTAAACAATAAGTAAAGATCCAGGGACCCGGGACGTCATATGATGGACTTAATGGAGCATGAGCTATCTCACAAGTACGGTGAAGAATTTGTACGCCTCCCGGCGTCCTGCGATCAAGCAGGTATAAAAAAAAAAAAATAAAAAAAAATAAGTAAAGATGGATTCGGCTCTGTATTTTCTGCAACATGGTTAAATGATATTCGAAAGATCAAAGAAATCGAGATAAACAAGTATGAAAAACATGTGAACTATAGTTTCGCGATCTAACCTAGCAAACCAAATTAAAACTACTTAAAGATGTTTCAGAAGACTTATAGAACATTCATGATGCAGGATATATTCATGCAGAATTTCACAGTAGCAATATTTTGCAACATAAAAGCATTAGTCAAGATATGCAATCTTATATTTCAGATCTAGGACTGTTTAAAAGTATAATGAAAACGATTCGGAAGGTAGTATTTCAATAATTAAAAATAATGGTCAGAATTTGCAAGAAATACGCCTAGAAGTAAATTTTGAAAAATATTCGATAACCCTCGGTATCGTTGGAGAATATTGCCCCAATCTTGTGGATGTTATGGTTGGTGATGATTTTGATAGTGTGGATGACTTGGTATCCCTGTTAAAGCAGTCTTTACATCTTCAAAAACTTACGATTCGAGGTGGTGCTTCATCGTTTAATGGAATTCTACCAACATTTAAAGAATTGAATGCGATGGCGAACTTATGTCAATTCTCGATTAATTAGATAATATCAGCTACTTCAATGGCAACTTTATTTGAAAATTGGGATACGCCTATTATACATTAAATGTTTCACTGCGAAGGCGATACTGATTCACATACATTTATAAGGGTGTGCGCTTATAGAGGATTCAATTATAAATCAAAAAATGTGCACTTATAGAAGCAAAATTGTATAAATGTGTACTTATGATGGGTCGACTGTACAAAGCTTTAGACTATCTCCATTTAAAGAATAATAATTACCTCAATAAAAATTTGCAAATTACTATGTAACTAGTAATAATACGTAATATGTTTGCATCTCTAATCTTATCTTTAACACTGTCTAATAAAATTTTTATAAAAATTTAATTTATATGTGCGATATTTACATAGATTCTTTCAGAGCATGAAGACGATCTCAAAATACAAGTTAAAGTCATTCTTCGTGACCGAGCTTTTTATGAAGAATGTCGGCTTATTGCATCTATTCCTTATCCTCTTAAACTTTCTGTTGGATGTCTAGAATCGAGAACTTCTAATCTTGCTGATTGCTACGTCTATTTAATATCATTGGCGAATACAATTTTTCACTTACCAAATCAAAATATAGGATTTAAAAATTACTGTATTGAGAAATTTAATCGTCGTTGGAATGAATTCTCCAATAATATTTATCTATTGGCTTTTTTTTTACATCCACGATATCATGGTAATGCTATACATATAAAATTTTCAATTAAATTTTTTTTTTATACGTACATATATAAATAAATAAAAATATATTTTTTTAGGTAACGGTATCGATTTGGAAAAATTTCGTGATATTAGTATAACAGCTAGACAAATTTGGAAAAACATGGGACATGATCAAGAATCATGCAGCAAACTATTATCCCAACTACGAAAATTAGGGTTGTTAATGGGTTGGGTTGGGTTGGTTTGGGTTGACCCAATCATCAACCCACTCCACTAAATTAGACTTACTCCAATGCTTTACTCCGGGTTGCTCCATAGTACTCTGGGTTGCTCCAGGTTGCTTCAAATTTAAAGGCATAATTTTAAACCCACTCCAACTTGGGCTGGGTTCTACTCCGGAGTGCTCCGGAGTAAGCTACTCCATTAACAACCCTAACGAAAATATAAAAGTAAAAAAGCACCATTCGATCAACCATACAATCCTAAATCAGATACGCCAATTATTTGGTGGGATACTGCACAATATAAAAAGGAAGAATGGGAATTATAAGCATTGGCACTTCATCTTTTTGCGATAACTCCACATAATGCTTCTTGTGAGTGTTCTTTCTCGGTTCTTGGTTGGTTTTATAATCAAAGACATACTAATTTGGCTGCAGAGCGGGCAGAAGAGATGTGCAAATTACATACCTTTTATATTACTAATGCGAAACAAGAATTACCTTGTTATGCAGTTGATATGCCTGAAAATTTATTATATAACCAACTAATCGATTCAGTTATAGCAATTAATAATGAGATTGATGAAACCACTGATTTTTTAAATACCAATAACGATAATCATGATAATCTCAATACAGAAATAGATATCAATACATCTGAAGTGTATACTTTAAATATTATGAATAGTATAGATATCGGGTTGCAAATGTTTAATGTAGACAGAAAAGCAAATAATGAAATAATAGTCAGTACAAGAAGACAAACTATCATATTAGATTCACAACACAATGATTTTGACATTGAAACATTAGCTAGAAATATGTCAATGGAAATTGATAATGACGAAAATTCTTAGATTATGTATCTTTGTTTCCTCTAAAGAAATAGCGAAATAAAATTTGGATTCGCTATGCTGCGTGTATTTTTTAAAAATGTCGGAACACCTATTGTACCTTATGTGTGGTTAAACTAACATTTTTTTTCAGAGATAGATTTAACACATTGACAATTTAAAAAATATTCACTTCCAGGTTTCAATTTATAAAAAATAAATTTTGGCTAAATTTTGGGTTTCGGCAAGGGTTTCGGGTTTCGGCATAAGTTTTGAATCAGTATTATGGACTTTCAGTGTTGTCAAAACCGTTAAAAGTTTCGGTCACATGTATAATGCAGAGGCTAGAAATAATGGCCAAGCAGCAACAAAAGCAGGTTCTAGTCAAACAAGAAGAGATTATTCTGTTATCAAACAAGAAAAATGAAAGAAGAAAAACAAGAAAGAAGCACAAAACAATCAGTAAGAAACAAAAGAAATACAAACAGAGGACAACAAAATAGAGATCTATCAAGAACTACAAAACAATACAGAAGCAAGTACAAGTATACAAAAAAATCAAAAAGAAAACTTGATAATCACAGAAATCTTATTAAGTCAAAGTATGTGAGCACCAAGCAGAAGACCTTGCAGCAATATAGATAAATACAAGGTCAAAATACCAGCATATAATATATCAGAAAACAATAAAGAGCAGTAAATCAAAATGATCGAAGGGATGCTAGCTGGCAACAGGCATCTCAAAGAAGTCAAAGAAATATTTGAGAACTATAATGAGTAGGTAGAAGTTACTTTTGACTGTGAAACAGGTAGAAGAGAAGCAATGGAGAAAATAAAAAAAAAATCAAGAGTGGTTTAGAATGATATCAGTAGAAACACAGCAACCAAAGAAAGGAACAATACTTCTCATAAAGCTTTAAATACAGATAAATCGAAAAAGATAGACAGAAAAAAGAGATACAAAAAACAAAAAGAAGAATTTAGAAAGATTACTATCACAGAATCAGAAAACAAGGAATCAAGTACAGAAAAGAATAATGAAGAATCTTTATATATCACAATATGGGATTTACTAAAAGAAATAAACCAACTAGAAGTATAACATGCCTATAAGAAGCTAGGTAAAATAGAGGAAATACAAATCAAAAAAAGCTTCTCAAAAGCATTAGCAGTGCTAAAAATCAAAAAAAGACCAAATGGAGAATTTTTCTAGACAATTCCAATAGGAGATGAAAAACTAGCAAGAGTTACAAAGGTATTAAAGACTTCAAGAAAAGGGATAGCCAAAGTAATATAATAGCAAAATTAAAGAGAATATCAAGAGATGTATCAGAGGTTCTACTACTCAACAATTTAAGAAATAGAGGTACCAAATCAGTTTACATACCACGTAATAGCAATAGCAAACAAAAAGTAGTAGCAA